TATCTGTTCTGATATTGAATAAAAGGCTTGTGAAACGTTGTCAATTTACAGGTTGCGTGTTCGAAAGGTTGATAAACACTCAAGAAATTCACATATATTGAAGTTTTCTCTGAAATCGTTGAACTCCATCGTGCTTGTGTTCTAAACCTAAATGTTGCTAAAAAACTTGCATCCCTCTTGTAATTTTTAGGCCATTTTCTCCATTGTATGGCGCGCGTTCCGCCAATATTTAGAGTCCTAAAAAGTCCCGGATATGTCGCGGCATTCTGCGCTCCGTTAGATTTAGATCACTGTCATATCACTGTCTGGGATTTGATAAATAACAACTGAACATCACTGCAATTCCCACCGTCCATCATCCACAGTATTGCCCCTGAATCACACATTAAGGTTATGAGAATAAAGGAAATGATCACCAAGAAAAGAACCTTTATATCGGCAAACAAATTCTCCCTGTCAGCACCTTAGGAAATGTATAAAGAACAGTGTGGAGAATATCCATACTGATTTTAAGTTTTAAAGGGTAAAAAAAGGAATAGAGCATGGTTTTCTTCTGCTATTCCGTCTCAAATTTCATGGTCTCACGGATTAACGCTTAAAAGTGCACATTCAAACGCTAACTACACGAGCTATCAATCAGTTATGAAGCAGGGCATGATGCATTACGAATTTTTAGCGGTGCGCTGAAATAACTATCCGTTAGTTGTTTCTGGCAAGTGTGAAACACTACTTCTGTACTCAAGCTTGCTGTAATTTGCAGCTGTCGTCAAGCCTTTATTTAAGTGTTCGACTGAAAGTAAGATAAACTAAGTGCACTTTCGTTTGGTTCTCTGAGTTTCTAGTAATTTGATGCAGTCTTGAGGAAGTTAGTCCCCATTGCCACAGAATTTCAATCGATTGATTCGATTATTATTGATTTTCTTTATCCCGTACTTACATTCACAGATATCGTTTTTTGATTTAGAAAATAAGCTGCCGAATTACATTGTTGTTATAGAAATTTAAGTAAGAGCAGTCTCTCCTTTATGGCGAGTTCCGTCGCGTGACTAAAAAAAATTGTCAGCGCCGCGGAGCGCCAGACTCCAAAGGCTCCCCGCGGACTTTATTTCATTGTTGACATTTTTATTTTTGTTAATATAGCGCAACAATGCACACTACCTTTACGAATTCTGGTTCTAATTATATCGGATGAACCCTCCCTTTTTAATCTACAACGTAACAAGAGTACCGCAACAAAATTAAACAATAATAACCAGATTTTAGATATTATGCATAGGTGAATAACAACAACTGAGCCGCTCAATAATAAAAACCAGGCGTGATATACTACTTCCGCTTTCATTAATTTTGGTTTTTCAGTGTGGCTGAATAACTTCATCGTGGAGTCAATACGACGGTTGTGCAACCAGTTAAATTATATTAGTCATAAATCTAGTCATCGCACACTCACATTTTTGGAAAAGAATCACAGGAACGTTTATCGACACACAGTCCAGCTTAAAATGATTCACAATTGCAATCAATCAGTTTGCGTTTGTCTCTAAACTATTCTTTAACTGTTTACGAATTCTGGCATAAGTTCCCAGATAAGCCATAAAAGTTCAAAATTTGAAGAGCAGGAAATATTGAATGAATGACAGCCATAAAAAATGCTTTGTTCCAACGATAGTGTCATTTGAAGGTACATCACTAAAGATGACTGTCAGTTTGTTGATTTGAGTCTGATTTTGGTAGCTATCAAGACTATTATCATATTAAAGATAAAAGTCTTGATATGAAACGCAAGTATTATAATGAAAAGTGCATGATGTAGACTTAACAGAGCTTATGGACGAAGTTGACTAAAAGACTAACTTGATCATTTTAATGTTAAAAGGCGCTATATTAAGTGAATAACAATAAAGTGAACCCCGAGCCTGCGGAGCAAGCGTCATTATTTTATTAATTGTTTTTAGGCAATAGGCTGAATTAATCATAATTCTCGGCAACTCGAAAATTTACGGCTTATGTTATGGGTGTAATAAAGTGCCGAAGGTTACTGCCTGAAAGCTGTTACTTGTGTGACTGTATAACAAATTTAAGTAATGTCATGTTCATTTAAATATCTGAATGCAATGGTTATTAAAGTCAGGCGCTACTATTCGACCAAATGAAACAGTGATTTCCTATTTCCGCTGTTACTTGGTCACGCTTTTTGTAGCATTGTTGTCCTTCAGCATTTCTCGTTGTTAAAACAAAGTTCGCTTGAATTCCAACAATAGCTTCAGTGAGTCCTTTTCCGTCAGCAATCGATTGAGCCACTTTGGTCTTGCTGGGAAACGTATGAATACAGCCGATTCCTTCATCGTTTATTTTTGTCTTTAAGGATTCATTTTCCTCGAAAAGATTGACGTACTCAGTCCGCTTCTTCTCGTTCATCATCGACTTCTTTCGGGATGATTATGCTCGGAGTTTTATCTATTTGTGCAAGCTCTGTGTTTGTGCTTCGTTTTAATAGTGTTTCAGATTTTCCTACTGCTGTTTCGATGTTTTTCACCTTGTTTCCAATCTCGATCCTTTTTACTCGCAATCATTTCAGAGATTGTTGCGCCTCATAATCCGCTTCAGTAAAGATTTCCCGTTTCTTGGCTTCGATGACAGTAATCACGCTTTTAGCAAACTGTTGTGTGCTCCTTTTACTTTTGCGACGTTTGCTTCGATGTTATCACAGTGTTCGTCAATTTTAGATATTTCGTTTCTCATCTTTTGCACTTTTGCCTTCCTGGACTCAATCGCGAACATGACTTGCTATTTCTTTTCATTTGCCGCTTGCTCTAAGAGTACCTTGACATGTCCATCGTGAGCGGTCACAACGCATGAACTGCGAACGGTTTCTTCACATTTCTCACAAAAGAATTCTAATTCTTTCTTTTCATGGCCTTGTCGGGAATAAAACACTGATCGTTTTAAGACATCCTCGATGCCTTGATCTTCAAAATCTTTAAGTGCAAGAACTCGGTGGTCTATCTTTATTTGCTCGGAGTAAGTTATGCACAGCGATACACTCGTCACACCACAATGAACAGCACTGAAAACAGTAGAAACTTTCGTTTGTCGCAGCTTTCGCATTTACTCCAGTAAAACGGTACTCCCTAATGGCCAACACAACTAGTAAGCTGTAGATGCGAAAGTTGGTGGGCAGATCTTTAAGGTTTCCTCCAGGGACCTGACTCTCCCGTCGACACTCAGGACATGTTATGACATCATGCTGCTAATTCCTGCTAAGCATATTCAATGTAAAAGATTTTTGAGAATCGTGTTAGTTTACCTTGACCTCACACATTGAAAGGCTTTCTATGTAGTTGTAGACAGACTAAAATCTCGCCTATTAAAAATGAGTCCATTTAAATTCAGGATTTTCCTTATTTCTGTTCGCCTGATACTTCAGTTTGTTTGTTACTTTAGTATCTCACGCACTGTTTTCTTTCTTTTCTGTTGGTTTGCTAAGTTGGTATCTCGCGCGCTGTTTCTTTTCTTTTCTGTTTGTTTGTTACGTTAGTATCTTGCGCACTGTTTTCTTTCTTTTCTGTTTATTTGTTACGTAAGTATCTTGTGCACTGTTTTCTTTCTTTTCTGTTTGCTTGTTGTTAGTATCTCGCGCACTGTTTTCTTTCTTTTCTGCTTGTTTTTTTGTTTACGTCAGTATCTCGTGCACTGTCTCCTTCCTTTTCTGTTTGTTGCGTTAGTATCTCCCGAACTGTTTTCTTTCTTTTGATTGTTTTTTACGTTAGTATCTCACGCAGTTTCTTTTCTTTTCTGATTGTTTGTTACGTTAGTATCTTACGTACTGTCTTATTTTCCTATCTGTTTGTTTGTTACGTTAGTATCTCGCGCACCGTTTTCTTTCTTTTCTGTTTGTTTTGTTACGTAATATCTCGCCCACTGTTTCTGTTTTTTTGTTTATTTTTCTTGTATGGGTAACAACTTGGTTTGGTGCAATTTGGTGTTAATAAGCACGAGTACATTTTTTAAGTGTTTATTAATACCAAATTGCACTCGAAATCATGTTGTTACTTGTTCATAATTTACATGAAAAACGCATCACAGTAGGTCAAGACGGACGAATTTTTGGCAAAGCGCGCGCGCTCTGTCATTGTGTGACAATCACACTCGTGTTACATAAAAAATGTCTCGTTTTCAGCCAATCAGACGCGCGTAATTTTTTTATCGTGCACAACTCCTTTCCTTTCATGTTGCTGTTTTTTTTTTCCTGTCTTTTTCTGTTTGTTTGTTAAGATAGTATCTCGCGAAATCCTGAACCCTTCTGTTCGTTTGTTACGTTAGTATCTCGCGCAATTTCTTTCCTTTTCTATCCTTTTGTTACGTAAGCATCTCGTGCACTGTCTTTTTCCTTAGCTGTATGTTTGTTACGTTAGTATCTCGCGCGGTTTCGTTCCTCGTCTGCTTGTATGTTACGCTAGTGTCTCGCGCACTGTTTCTTTCCTTTCCTGTTTGTTTGTTTGTTTTTTGCGCTAGTATCTTGTGAACTGTTTCTTCTCTTTTATTATGGACTGTTTCGTTCCGGCACGTAACGGAAAAAGAAGAACCAGTTACAAGCGCGATCGCCCAAAGAAATTTGGGGATATAGGATTCCGGCCTCCTTACAAAAGAAATTATTCTATTATTGTTTCCCTCAACTAATAATATCCATAATGATACAACTTATTCCACCGTACCAGAAGTAGATTGGCAGCCAATGTCTGTTCATGGTTTTGATTCATTAACTCAGAAATATTTCAAGTTTGAAAAATCGAATAATTCTCATTCCTCAAAGGGTTTACGCAGAAAGCCTTCATTTTATCTTCTCCAAACGTCCCGTCGCAAGAGCAAAAAAGTAAAAATGTTTCCATATTACGTCCGTCACAATCCAGCGAAAGCTCGACCCAAGACCCAAGCCTTTAGGGTTCGTAGTCCTGCGTGTCTCATATACCAGCGCAGTGAAATAAATTTAACAAACCACGTGAAATTATAAAAATCCACCATTTATTCTTATCCTACCTACATTTGTAAATACACTTCAATGCAATCTGTTTAAAGCACGGACTATAAAGCTAAATTGGCCTTATTTCTATCTATTATTTTACGTCCCTCCGCGATTTTGCAGAAAACCCTTTCAGGTCGTTAGAAGCCTTGTCACGCAGTGGTCCCTGAAAAAGTTGCGTGACCAGATGCCGGTGGTGTGATTTTCTGTTCATGGTTGTTGAATTATTTTTATCTGAGGAAGAATTTTTCAGCCGTCTTGTGAAAATTGACATAAGTCAAATTAAATACAAAAGGTAGAAAAAATATAAAATACAGACTGGCGGGATAATCATGTTAAAAAACCAAAATGGCAATTCATGTTAATCGCGCCTTAAATCAGCGAGGGTTGTCTACTTAACTGATGAATTTAGGCTGAACTAATATTGACCTCTTAATAAAGGTTCTCAACTTTTTCAAGCATAGTCACGATTACCCAGGGGAGAAAAATTAAATGTAATTCAAACGAAGCAACGTTTACGGTGGTTTGCTAAAGAATAATACTTAACTCTATCCCAACATCCAATTTGCATTCATGTTTATCCAGGTTCTATTCTTGTTTAATGGCGCCGCAATGGAATTTTTCTTCACCCACACATAATCAATTAAAGCTTGGTTTTTAAGAGAATTTACATCGTAGCCAAACGACCCAAAATGACATGACGCACTCTTTTTCGTTACAGTTTGGCCCGTGCTAAGATAAACAACGAGTAATGAACATGCAACAAGTAAACTAAAAAACTGAAGTTTGAAGTAAATATCGTAAACTGCAAGACTCTTTTAATCTTTTTTTCTTACGCTTTTTCCAGACAGCCGATACCTGCATTTGATTCGATTTAAATTACAGTTTTCTGTTTAAAATCCAAACAATTCAAAAGCTCTTCCGTCGATCGTTTCACTTCTGTGCCATTGTACAACACACAGAAACTAACCTTTCTCAGAGAAACTGTAGAAATAACTGCTTATAGCGAACGATGTAAGGAGTCTAATGGTAGTCGTATTCGGCATCAAGACAATCTTTTTTTAATCGAAAAATATTAGAATTAAATTAATCTAAATAAAAATATAACAACATGTACACCTGTTGGTTTTTGTCTGGGGAACGGCCATTGAAATGGGAATGAAAAATGTCGAAAACAACTTACTTTATGACAAAAAAATAGAAACTGTTCGTGGACGAAAATATGATCAGTCGAAAGAAGCAACCGGAAAATACTCCTTTGCCTCGAAAAGACGGAAATTTTTTTCCCCTCAAAATATCTTCAATCGCCATCCCCCACTCCAAAAACATCACGGACAGTCCCTTACTAACAATCTAGCAGCATTCACTCGCATCGATATTCACAAAAGCCTCACAAAACCTTTCAAAGCACTGTGTCGCCATCTGAGTTTAATAACTCCTCCAATTTAGCCGCATCAGGACTTTTAGGAATCGAGCCGTTCGTTGTCGTGGTCTTATCTGCGAGTTTGCTGTCTTTTTGCTCTTCGGCTTCTCCGGGGTCAGCGGAGGACCTAAAGAGGGACAAAACTGCAGTGTGAGATCAGATACTTTCACCCATGGTCACTCAATCCCAGTCCTAACTCTTAATAATTTATTAATTTATTAGTTGTATAGCCCTATTTACATGTACAGATCAACTCTTTCAAAAGGGACTCCTCTGAATACCTCTAGAATTTCTCTACCATTTTATTACATGAATTCTCAAACGGCTCTTTTTTGTCCAACTTACGATTTTGAAATTTGATCCTCGGAGACTTCTGGGATGCCTTCATCGCTGCTACTCGCACTTCTTTTTGTCCTTCTGCCGTCTTCTTCCCCAGCATTTGCCCTGTCCCAGCTTAACTTCCTAGACAGCATATTGGAAGGAGCTTGACCAGGCGACCAGGGTTTAGGTAGAGTCGCGGACCGCATGGCTGTCTTCTCTGTTCCAGATGTGGTCCGTTGCATCTTCAGTGACATGGACCGCCCCCCTGGTCTTAAAGCTTCTTTGCCACTCTCACGAGCAACCCACAAATCGTCTTTTACCACAGCCGACCCGCTGTTATCTTTCTCTTTAACCTCTTCTTCCATCTTCGCACTGTCTACCTTCTCAATCTCGCTGTTAACATCTTGTACCTTCTGGTCAACTTTTTCCGTCTGTTCCTGTGCTCTTTCACTTGGCTTCTCTTCATTTCCCTCTGTATTAACCTCCTTCTTATCTTCCTTTTCCGTCTCCTTCCGGTCGTCCACCACACCTTTCTCTGTAACTTCTTCAGGTTTCTCCTTTTCTTTCACCTTTTCCACTTTTTCTACTTTCCCATCTAGTTCTTCCCTTTTTTCCGATTGTTTTGTTTCCGATGGAATCTCTTTCGTTTCTTTGGGTTTTCCGTTCTTCAGTACTTCCTGTTTAACGTCTTCTTTAGCTTCCGGTTGAACTTCTTTTTTCACTTCCGGTTCCTTCTCTTTATTTTCGTCTTTCGGTTCTTCCCTTGATTCTTTCCTGGAGTCCTTCTTACCAGGCCGAGGAGCGGGTTTTGGCGGAGTACCAGACGGCAACCTGGGTCTCGAGCTCTTGAAGGATGACGGTTTGACAAGTCCCTCTTTAGCAATTTGCGGGGCTACCTCTTTACTCCCGATGGCAGGAGCAGGCTTCGAACCCTTGTCTGGTTCAGAGGATTTGCTTTCGGCTGGTTTATCTGTTACTTTCTGTAAAAAAAGCGAACAATGTAAGCTGTAATGTTACAAACAATAACTACGATGATAGAGCAAACGGAGGGTTCAACATGGTTTAAAAACAGCTGGGGGGTTCGAAGTTCGAATCCTTAAAGGGTGTTATGGGGAACTGTGATATTTTCTTCGTTCCTAACTCGTAGAAGAAGTATAAAATTTCGTTAAAAGCGCTTCTTTTCTCGAAATACAATTGAGTTCTGAAAAGTAAGGTTAATTTATCGACAGTGATCATCAGAGGAATATTTTTTGTCATCATCACAACATTGTTGTATAAATCAATAAAATAACCTCAGTTGTTCTTACCCTTCCTAAGCTGGCCGCCCTCTCTTGCCTCTGTTTCATTTCAGCCAACAGTCCTCCACCGGCAGCTCCACCTATTCCTATTCCAAATTTGGGAGGCCCACGCAGCTTAGCAGCAGGCTCCTCTGAGGCAGGCTTTGATGCATCCTTCTCAGGTGTGGATCCCCCAACACGAGACTGCGCGGATGGCGCCGTCCCGGTCCTATCACGAGGAAGAGCAAATGGTTTGACGCCCATGATGGGTGGTTTAGTGCCTACAATTTTCTCTGCTGACGGAGTTCTTTCTCGTTTAATCAGTGAAGGAGCTCTTTCTTTTGACACCTCGTCATTTTCTTCAACACTTCTCTTTTCTATGGTTACCTCGGGTTTGTCTTCAGTGGGTGTCTTTGCCTTAGTGACCTCAGGCTCCTTGTCCAAGGGAACCTTTTCTGTAGGGGCTGCTGGTTCTGGAGTCGCCTTCTCTGCTAGTTGTTCAGCTTTCTTGTCAGAAGGCACTCTTTCTTTAGACACGTCTGGCTTCTTTCCAGAGGGCATCTTCTCTTTCGAGGCTTTGTGCTCTTCCTTTGGAGAGGCCTGATTTTTCTTTTTTTCAGTATCTGAGAAAAATAAAATAGATATTTCCTGAAGCTGTACAAATAAACAGAGGTTAGAAAAGAGTCAAATAAATCAGTCGTTGGGAGTTACAGCGTGGACATGATTTGAATTTGTGATCGTCGCAAGAGCTTCAAAATGCGTCACCGAAAAGAACCCTATCTTCTTTCATTATTCAATATTCGAAGTTGTGCTTTAAAAGAAACTACAGGAATTATGTGGGCAGTGAAGGAGTAAGATTGAGGAATATGGCTGGGAAAGTCGCTTGAACAGTTACAACAAAGAGTAACGACCGACCGTGCTCCAAAAGGAATCAAGCAATTATGATTCTGGTTTATGGATAAATTTGCATCATAAGTGGGAGCCTAACTTATGATTTAGCTTACCGCTAAGTTTTCGATGGCTTAATTATTTAACAGTAACAAGCCTGTTTCGAGATCTTTCCAAGGCTTTTACACAAGCGACTTAACGCGTCTTTGCAATGAACCTACTTGAAAAGATAAGTTTGTGTAAATATATCTCACAATCACTGTTGTGTTTACCAGTCTGTTTGCTGTTGTCTGTGTACCAGGCCGTGGATTTTCCTTCGCCCGTGCTCGGCGCAGTTAGTGCGCGATCTCTGCTTTGTTTCTTCTTAAGAAACCCCGGAAGACTTATACCACTGTTCAAAAGAATAAATGACAAACATTGAAAACGCTGAATTGTACTGGCTTCCACAACAAATAAACAGTCAGAAAAAGGAAATAGGGGAGCGATGACTGACACAGAGCAGGCGAAAGCGCATCAGGAAAACTATTAATTTGACATGAAGAGTGAAATTACGACCAAAAGAACTAGACATGTTTGCTTTTTTTTTTTCGTGTTCAATTACAGATAAAAGCCAGGTTCCATTCTACATCTACGCACGTTCCTTTCTCACGAGCTACGACAGAACTGCCTTTGTTCACGGCCTACAATCTCTTCCAACGCATTACTATGTGAAAAACAAGTGAATCTTCACTGACCCTTTTGGCATCCAACTCGACTTTTTATGTTCCTGTAGAAGACAAAGACCAAACCAAGATGAACAAAATCAACGAAAAATTAAAATCCCATAATAACACATCAAAATTTGACAAGGACTGGCCAACATAGGTTCTTTAATCCTTTAACTACCAAGGATCTGATCGTTAATTCTCCCCTCTAGCTGCTACACATTTCCTTGTGAAATAGCTGCTAGAATTTGGCGTTAGTTCAAGATAGCAACTTTAACCTGACAAGTTTGAATATTCTCATTACCTGCTTGCTGGTTAATGTATGGATATCATAGGGAGAAATCATGTTAATCACTTCTGGGAGTTAAAGGGTTAAGACGTCGTAACTGGTTGAAACAATAAGCCGTTAAAGCAAGCATCGTTGCCGTTAATTTTAATAATGATTGCTGAGCTGAAAAACGTCGTTAGTTTTATCGATATCTGTGTATAAAGGATTCCTCATTAGGGACTCAAAATTTTTTCTTTGTGACTAGACAAAAAACATCTTTCTCTCTTTCTTCACCGAGCTCAAAACTTACCATCTTTTTTGTTCTATTTACAAGGTTTTTGTTTTCGGATAATTTAACAGTTCTGAGTTGAAGAATGACTTTTGTTACTAGCCGCTCTTTCAATTCAGCGCGATCTCTATAGATCATATTCGGTGGACGTACACAGAACGATATATCCCATAGAACTTACTACCTGCCCGGATGGAGTTACGCGCTGGTAGAAAATGAGACGGTCTTCCTTAAATTCGTTTAAACAATTATAATTGTGAGAAACTCATCGGAGTTCACCTCGATTCACAGCCGACCCCGTCGCCTCAACTCTCCAAAAAAGGTTCGAAGGGTTAATGAAAGGAAGTTACTTAAGAGAATATCTAAATAAGGTTTTATAACTCTCGCACTTCTCGTATTTAATGGCGAATCCGTAACTTTTTACCTCGTTATCTTTGGCCTTGGGTGAAGGTTTCGGTTTTGGTGCTGGTTTAGGAGGTGGTGTTTTGCTTGGGGTTGCTGCCGGTGACGTTTTAGTTGTTGATGTCTTCCTTGTGGGTTTCTCAGGAGTAACTTCAACTTTCGGCGGCCTGAAAAAGAACTTGAAGTTAACTTCGAAATAAGGTTTCTTTTTACAAGAACAGATAAATTGAAATAGGCATGTACAAAGTGATCTGCCGCACACAACAGTACGCTACCTTTTCCAAATTTGAAGCAGTGCTTAAAATACATGAATTACATGAAGCCTCTTAAAATGCTTTTGGTCAACTGATCTCTTTTTCCGCCAGGAAAATATAACGTATTTCTTTGTTTGATGACTTAGATCAAACTTTGATCACGGAAACCTAAACATATTTAGTGGGCCCTTATTTTCGGAGCTTACACTTGTCTCCAGAGCATGAAGTGACTGGGAGTACTGTTACTGCCCCTGGGTAATATGCTAGTTTATCGAAGGGTAAACAAACGACCCCTCTACCCCCTTCCCCCTCAACAGAGGCACTGTAACAGCGATATGGTTTCACGGACAACGCGAAGTCATGGATCGGCCAGGACTCAGACTCAGACCTCTCAGTCAGGAGTCTAGCGTGCTAACCAAAAGGAAACTGGGACACTCTGCATGGTGGAGCTTCATCTCAAAACTCTTAAAGACAAGAAAATTAACAGCCTGACCGGAACATTAAGTTCTTGAAAATGTTAGTGAAAATAAAAGTTATAGTAACCATGTGTTCAATGGTTGTTTCTCACAAACGAAAGACCGAGATCTCAGGCTACAGTGTCAAACGAAGGCAAAAAGAAGACACACAAAGACACTTACTCTTGCTCTGTCTTGCTCCAAAATGCCTCGATACTTTCATCGTCTTTACTCTCGTCCTGAGCGACAGCTGGTCTGTTGGAGGGTCGGGTGGGGAGGCGCCTTTTCTGTGGGGGCCGAGCGCGATCCTTGCCTAAGTGCTTCAACCCTGAGGTCTTCATCTCCAAATCGTTGAATTCTGAATGAAGCACCAAAATGTAGAACAAATAAAGCTAAGTAGTAAAAGTAAGCCCACAGATGACAGACGTTACCTGGGCTTGCAATAAGACTCACCTTGAAATGAAACTCACGAGTTGATAATAAATATGATCCAAGAAAATTCGATAACTAAACTCTCTGAAAAAGTTTGCTCGGTTAATGGCATTTGGCGACAGATTCGAACTTGCAAGGGTTTTAATTTGTCCTACTGTTGTAACCAATGTTGAACATAACTTCTCTCTCAGAGAAATATGATTTGATTTTGGTTTCAAACAAATTAATACTTGAAAAAAACAAAAAGTTGACGTACCAACTTTAGTTGGGACGACCAACTGAGGCAGCGGCTTTCCTTCAACTTCATCCTTAGCCAATTTGAGTTTTTCTACTTTCTCTGTTTTCACCTCATCCTCAACTTCCTTGACGACTTTTTCGTCTTCCTCGACCAGCCTGGCTGATGGACGTCTGCTCACTGTAGGTCGTCTCCTGTGGCTCCTTCCGCCGCCCTCTGTTCCATCCCCCGCAGGTGCAGTCAGCTGGGCTGAGCTCAGGCGGTTACGAGCTTTGCGAGCCGCCTTTAAGAAAAAACAGAAATGGAAAAAAATTGATAAATATAATCTTGGCGAGAAGCGAAGTTAATTCCTGACTACGAGAGGTGCACAGCGCCTCAAGTAAACACCGGTAGAGATATTCCACGAGACACACGTTACAGGCCGTAACCCACGGCAGGTATGCCATACGCCGCATGCCGGAGGAGAAGAGCAAGCACGCAGACACCCAATCCATAAAGACAACCACTTGCGACACAAAACGTCTCGTAGAATGGCAGAAGTTTCCTGAACAACTGTACCAATCAACATGCACTTCCAACTAAGTGACGAACACAATTCCGCAGTACACTACTTTTGCCTCACTACGCCTGTAATTAGTCTGAAAATTTCTCGCTGCTTTCTTAATTAACAAGTCAGGTGCAAAACTCAAAGAAACTCAGCCTAAGTCACTCTCTCTTTCTCACTTCCTCTTTCTCGCCTTTCTTTGTTCTTTTCCTTTACATTTATTGTTGTGCTTTACGACACTCGACCCCTTCATGTCATTTCCAAGTTCGATTGTCTTACCGCTGCCACATCGTCTTCTTCAATGTTCTTCTCATTCTCCGAGTCCTTATTCTCCATTTTGCTTCGGTGTTCCCTGAGAAGGAGGTCCTGTGAAATAAATATTTGTTACCCTTTGGTTACTACAAAGGAATGTCTCGTTAAGGTACTAAAGATTTTTTGATACAAGATCAAAACGGAATTGGTACTTTAGACGCGCTATTGGCAAGAGTTCAAATTGGGTGATTATCACATTAGCAATCTTGAGTTCTTCTTTTGCGTTTTGTTAATCATAATAGCGGTCCCTGAATACTCAAATGAATAAAGAGAGCTACCCCCAGTCATCTGGACAGAACGGGAACGGTGAACAAAGAATATGTGACCACGCCAAGATAACATGACAAAGAAATGAAAATAAATTTAAGATACAAATTCTAGTTTTACATATTTTATTGGCTTGAAAAAGAGTCAAGCTTTGTTTTGCGACTCAATTGCCGTGAAAACTAGAGGAAAATTATTTTGAGTTATGATTATTTAAATAGTATTTCTTTCTCTCGAGGTGAAGAAATGCGATCATTTCGTTCTTTTGAAAGTTATTCTCTTTTTTGCCACAAAAATTAAAACGCTAGGTACACAAAGTGTTCCATCTCAACCCACCCCAGCCGAAAAAAATAGCTCTTGCATGATACGCATGCCTATATTTTCTTTTCGTTATAACGTTTCCCAATGCAGGATGCCAAGAGGCCGGCTACAAGTGGGTAAAACAGTCCCTATCAAGTACTAATGATACTTATTCGGAACTTTCCGGATATTTATTTAATTATTCAACCAGTCCTCAAAGAGATCTCTTTCCATTGTTATGTTTGCGTTAGATTTATTGACCGTCACCAATAAGTGAACCAGACAGTTCACAAAAAACAAAAGGGTTGCTATCCACAAAAATAATAAAGGGTCCTTCGTTATCTTTATTGTGATTTTAACCACATCCTTTATAATTATCCTGTGTTTTACTTTCCTTTGTCCATTTTGGCGTTACTATAATTATAACCTGTTCAGGGCTCTCGCTAACACGTAAATTTCAGTATGTCAGCCAATTTTGTCTGCGGCCTTGGATCGCAACAAATTACTCGGCATTCTTGGCAAACTTCGAACAAGATTTTCATATGTTGATCAGGGAAATTTCAAATATCCTCTCGCATTTTTTTCCCATTTAGATGCTTAGACCAGGCCATAACGTGACAATTCTACGCGATTCTACCATGATCAAGTTACTTTGCAAGTAACCGTAACGATTGTCTTTCAAAACATGCTAGAACACTACAGTAAAAATATTCTTCGGAGCAAGGTAAACTGAACGTTGCTGCAATTTCAATTTCCAGCAGCAGTAACCGCCGATAACACTGAGTTACATTTTACAACATAAAACACGCGCATAAGCAGGGATAATATCTGTTGCGGACATAAACAAAGTGTGAAACGAGAATAAGACCGGAAATGTTACAATAAAAACTTTCGATCTTTGAGAGAACGTGGTTTCGTGTCCTGCTAAGTGTCTACCAAATCCTTCTTCGTTCACTTCAATTACACATTACATTAACACAGTTCAAGTTGTTATTCCCCTCGTCACTCACCAGTTTGTTGACACTATTTTCCAACTGGTGTATCACAATCTCCATGATCGTGTCCGCCATGACAGATGCCACTGTAAGCTTGTCTTCGCTGCAAATGAAAACAACAGGACCGAGGAAGGGTGGGGTTAAGTTACTTGGTCCCATTTCAAGTTTTCACAGACATTTTCATTTCGTATGTGGACAATAAATATCGAAAGCGTCACGGTGCGGTATTGGCCACTGAAATGTTTCAGGAAATCTAAGGTTTCAATCAAACCACTGAAAAAGAGAAAGGAAGTTTCTAGTCGGAGAATCGTATTGCAATTAAGCAAGCCAGTTTAGCTCTCACGCATCAGTTTTTTATTACCGGCAATGTATCATCGGTTCATAAAATTAGCCAGTGATTTGACCTACGTTTAAGGCTCCTCGTTTGAGGAGTTTTCCTTAATAACTATTGTGAATGTTCATCATATTCAGTGATCCGGTTAAAGAATTGACAGGTCTGGCTTATCTATTATAATTAATAACGGACGTATCTTAACGCTTTAACTTTCATGAGTGACCAAGACAGAATTTCTCCTCATGATATCAATACAAAATCAAGAAGAAAAGTGATGAGAACCAAGAAAACTATCAATTAGGGGATTATTAGTTGATCCAATAACAAATTCTTAGAAGTAACATCAGAAGAATTGTATGGCAGCAGACAGTCAGGAGAGGTACTTATGAGATCTTGGGAGTTTAAGGGTTAAAGGCTGAACCAGTAGGGGGGGTTTTATTTTGCATTTCAATTCCTCATATAAACTTTTTTCCATTTCTTTTACCAACATATCAAACGTTATTTACAAACTGTCCGCATTAGTCAAAGGGATGTACATACTTATATGACTGTAAATATATGAAAATATTTATGTGAACTGCGGATTAAGAAATGAATATGAAAACGATTTTCGCAGTAACGAACCTTACTTAAGCAGTAATGAAAATAAGGCCTAAAAAAATTCAGTCCAGTACGGGATCAGCCCTTATTTTCAATTATGCTCAAGCAAAGTTCATTCCTGCGAAGATCGCTTTCATGTTCATACAAATGTAAGCAATATTTGAATGAAATTTTGTCCCTATAGATAAAACATGATAAAATCACAAAGTTATTTAAGTGTCTCTAACCTTAATCTGTTAGCAATACCCGCTGCAGCACGAGTAAGAATCACTTCCTCCACAAAAGTTTCATTCAGACTTGACTTTCCTTGTGCCACAGCCAGTAAACGGCTTTGAACATCCTATAAGCAACACGGTTTTATGAATCTAACAGACCACTTCTTAATGGTGGATTTATACAATAAAAAGCTCGTGTGCTAAAGAATAGAGGACCTCCTCTGAAGGCAAATGTACTTCACTGAAGGTAAATCTGTTAGCCTAAGATTATTATAACACAACGGCTGTAAGTGTATGAGTTTTATAGTCAACCAGCATTGAAAAATACGAGATTGCATTTCTATAGCGCTTGGGAACCAGACGAAAATCTTTTTGAAATATATACAACTTACGTCTGAGGAGGTGATATACGGACAAACTTCTTTGGCACAATCGATCATCTTCGCCATATTGTTCTGAAATCACGCAAACACACAAACCTCTATATTACGAGACAAATAACCCTGATATCATTCTTAAATCGAAAGCTAAGATTCATAATCCAGTTGACACAGGACGTTTAAGGTTGGTCCTACAAAAAGCAGTATGCCTATTTTGGGCCACAAGGACCCGCTCATAACCCAGTCCATCAGCACTTAGCGATGTAACATTCGACCTTCGGAGACTGGAGCTCAATTTCTTTGTGGGATTCGCATTTTTACTTTTTCATTTTTTTGTCCATTAACTCGACGACAAACAATTGATAAACCAAAAGGATATGAATACATTTAATAGACATTTCTTAACCTTTGGATGATTACAACACACTACACATTTTTTCTTATTTATACAAGGCTTTAATTCAAGCTGCAAACAGCGAACGTTGACAACCAAACTACAAACATCAACTTCGCGTATAAATTTGTTTTTAATCAAAAGTATGCACTTCCCTTCACTTTACTCTGACTGGTCAAGTTTTGTAACGTTTTCCTTACTTACCTTCATTTTCTCTTCAGCGGCTTTGTAAAATTCCCCAGCCAGCTCAGCAAATCTGGCTTCAATATCACTGTCACTTGTGCACAAATGGAACTTCAGTAGCAACTGTTGAAACAATATGACCTTTTATCTTCCAGTAATTGTGATCAGATCTGACATATTTATTACGATCACGTTTGACAAAAGAAACAGACGAAACAAATGAAATCCAAACACACTGAATTTTTCTCCACTAAATAAATTTAGAATTTTACGAATGGATTACAAATTTTAAAAAAATATATTTTGCGCAACAAATCAGCTTGCCTCAAATAAACGAGTGTGTGGCGACACAAACCTAGAAGAGGGTGAAAAATTCCTCCAACATAGAAAAATTCGGACGAGTTTTACAAGCACAATCAGGTTTTGGCATGTGCAGCCTAACTCTACCCCTATCCAACTGATCACTGTCAGGCTTGATAAAAGAATAGTTTCAATTGGGTGCTGGAAGTAATACGGGATTGCTTTGGTTTTGCCCCACTTCGCTATCTGATTGGTTTAGAAAACTCCCCCTATCATCTCAACCAATCACATTTCAAACATTGACTCCCTGGTTTTCGGTTTTACGAACTTGTATCGAAGTGCGCTCTTTTGTGAAGCCTTATTTGCTCTTTAAAGTCTTTACTTTACTTAGAAAACTTGCTAGCGACAATTATCGTGGAAATTTGTTGTATAGTATATCTACCATAAAAACATTTATAACTTCTCATTATCGACCGTGTCATGCAAGAAAAATTGTCACTTTTCCATTTACGCAATTGCACCAAGAGAAATCTGACATTGAACAAACCTGTTTCAGTTTGTCTGCATCCTGTATATAATTTTTGGCAGTTTTAATCTCATTCTTCACATTTGGTTCCTGGGAGGATCGGAGCGCGCTCACGAGGTCCTGTAACTGCACCACAAGTCGGTCCACCATCTGGGGAAGTCGAGGAATGATAAGTAATATGGAGCCAACAAACACATCAACTGACCGACAATTGGTACTAGTTTTCTCAAAAAAGAAACCTCACAATATCTGAAGTCGTTTTTCTGCGGCGTGAAAAATAACTTTCCACATGACGAAGCATTGAAAATATTGGGTCGACAAGTCAGAAAAGATACGAGAGAAAATAAGCGAAGAAAGAACATGGATGGCTTTGGGTGGAGAAGATATGCACATCATATCACCAAGTTAAATCTCTCTGCATGAAGGAGAGTTATGCCCCTTTCGAAAAACAAACCTCCAACACATGTTGATTTGAGTTTGTCGTTGTACCTCAGAGAGCTCCCTCATGGCTATCAAGTTTTTCCTACTTCCACCGAAATGTGAGATTCATCAATTCAGTGAATGAGGATATATATTTTAACAAGAAGTGACTTTACTTCAAACTGCAAAACAATTTTTGTTTGACGTACCTGTTGCTGTGTAGAGGTGAGCAGCAGGCCTTGCTGTAATCTGTAGGCCTGTTCTGTAACTACTTTGTGCGGAGACTGATTCCTCAGCAACAATTTTTCGATCTGCAACGAAATACATTATGATATCAATAAATTCAACGTTACCATAAAGGAAAAACATCCACGAAATACTCTGCTTCCTTTTGGTTATGTTAATTAACTTTAAACCTCGCAGGAGTTACGTAACCCAGAACTGTCAAGGAATCTATTAATATTCGTTTTCGTTCCAAACCACGTGTTGTAATTTTCTTGTCAGTTATAGTTTAGTCGTTGTGTATTAAAGGTCTTTTCTTAAAGTGGAGTCGTTTCGCGTTTGAAGTACACAACACTTTTCTTGTTAAACACGTACGAAATTTAATTTTACCGATTTTGAAAACCAATTTAAAAAGCGTTATAACATAAAGTACAGGAATGTAAAATTGAAGCAATTTTCAAATCGAGTGTCAGAAGTACCAACGAACTGTGCTACTTCCACTTTGCTACGCGCTCTGATTGGTCTACAAAAGAATCGCATATCTCTGTCAACCAATCTGATGTAAACCAAAACCAATCGCGACTTGGACACTTGCGTTTTCCCGCGCTTGACGCCATTTGCACGTGTTCACTTGGAGTTTTCATTGGCTGAATGTGACATTTTGCATCACTCCGATAGGCTGTATTAGATAACTTAGTTCAGTTTTCGACCCTGTAATAAAAAGAAATCTACTGGAAGTTCACTGATTAATATTCACCTTTCTTAAGTGCTGCTCTGTCTGTGGTTTGAGCGACTGCGCAGCATCGTGAAGAGGCATCGGCATAGAAAGCAGTGTGTGATTGCTAGAATACAAAAACGCAGACGTGAACAGCATTTCTTTAATCCTGTTTAACAATTACGCTAGACAAATCTTGTGGGAAGTTATACTCACCTTTCTAAGGCTGCTGCGATGTCAGCAAATCCCCTGTATGTTGTTCCGTTCTTGTCCCAGTCAAGCGTTCTGAAATGTTCCAAGGTATTTTATTTTATCCTTAAACAATCGAGTTATCGATAAACGGCCTTAACGAAGGAGCTGCATACAAAATAGTCGTTTGTAGAAGCAGAAAAGCACCACTGAGGATGTCATACGGCGAAAGAGCTAGCTTACTATGGTTGACGATGGATAGAGATGTAATCACAATTACCAACTGACCAAGCCAAACCATCAGTCAACATATTCCGATTCCATCAAGAAAGGAAACCTTGGTGTATGGGTTTATTTTTGTTGATAGAACTCTAAATATTTTTTTCGCAAATATCTTATGTCTGGCGCGACGATTTCAGCAAAGCTCAGGGAAAGTGGGACGCTGACGTCATTTCTCACCTTAGTTTGGTGTTGATTTGAAGAGCTTTAGCCAGAATGCGTGCTCCCTCGTCACCAATTTGGTTTCCACTGAAAAACAAGCACAATCCGTGTTGGTGAATTTTAACTTACAATTATCTGTGTTTGCGAACACTATTAACTAACCTATTGAGAAGAACAAAACTTTCTCAACGGTGATCAATACTGAGAAACCTTTCCGTCAACAACCTCCGACGGGTGTTTTAGATGGACAACCGTGCGTTCGTAAACTGCAAGCAGTGGCAAATTTTTAAAAGCTGTCCGTGCGTGTAAGTTAGAGCACAATTTCGGTTCCTCAAACTTTTTCGCGGTACTGAGACAGAAATATAAAATTATGCTCGGTTAACCAAGCTGCTGGTTTTACCTGATGTCAAGTTCTGTCAATGTTTCATTCGTTCCAAGAGCATCCAGTAACGGAATGATGTCATGTTTAAGTTTGGACTCGGCTAACGAGACTGACTCGAGATGCTGAAAAAAGGAAAACAATAGAAAAAGTCAGGGAAATGTCACTGATTTCTGCATTAAGATATCAAATCAAACAATCAATGTTACTTTGTTTGCATGTTTGGTTTTTCTGACTCACTGAATTTTCTTCAGATAATAGTTGCACCAATGCCTCCATAATTGCAGATGAGTTCCTGAAAGACACAGGAAACAGAACTAAATATCGAACAGGGATCACATAAACAAACTCAAAGGTTCAAGTAGACATGACTATGGAGGGGCTTTGGACAATATCGCTACTGAAACGAGCAAACAGTTTCTACAGTTTAACAAGAGAGAAATATACAAATTGAAATGTTAACGGCGAGAAAGAAAAAACATTCCGACACAGCAGAGAACCTTTAAGATTTGAACCTTCAAATTTGTGCTTTCCAATCCGTTTCAATTCTCTTCATCCAAAAGCATTCTTGTTTAATCCTCGCATTTTGAAGTTCTTTCTTAACAAACCAACATTTTGCTGTTCTCGCAACGTTCAGGGCAATTATTTTAACTGGCGGAAAACGAACACAATACCTCACCGTATTCCCTATAATGAACGTGAATAACTTACCTTTGTTTCATATTCTGTCCCAAGTTTAGATATTTCAATGTCTTGTTTGATGACAGCTTCTCGAGAATCGGAATTACCTCCGTATCAAATCCTGAAATTAGAGGAGATAATTCCAATATTTGTTCAGGTCAGCAGATTCACCTTGGATCTAGTCGCTGAAGTAAAGCTAGGATCAGTCACATAAATACCCACCATTATCACTAATGTTCAGCCTGCTGACACATTTCAGGTGAGTTATATTGTCTGCTATGGCTTTCGCCCCCAGACTTCTGAGCTGCAAATAAATTGATATAACCATTACGAGGTCTACATCACTGTAAGGAGAAATAACGAGTTAAAATTATTTCAGGATTGAATTAGTTTTGCGTCACTGCCCTCTGTGAGTGGTCTAGAAATTTCACATCAACTCCTCAACCAATCGAATGTAAGGCTACAAGCAATAACGACTTTGTAACTCGCGTTTTCCCGCGGTTCTCGGATGACGCAGATTACACGAGTTTATTCTGAACTCTCATTGGCTCCTAGTAACATTTTCTTTTGTTATGATTGGCCGTCGTAATTGCAATGCTTTTGGTTGTACGAAACGGCAGCGAAGAGCGCTCTGAATAATTTTCAGGCGACGAAAATGTCTTCTGTCACAATTTTTGTATTAATATCATCAAATCTTGACTGACATATGTTCAGTAAAATGTCAACATTTCTTGCAAAAAATTTTCACCACTTGTATGGACGACTTAAACACACAAAAATAACCTTCTACCAGAAAAACAGTAAACACAAAAAATCAAAACTTAAACCTCACACTCCAACCATGATTTTCCAACTTAGCATACCTCATTGTTGCTTAAGTTGAGTTCAACATCACAAAGGAAACTGTTTTCACGTAGTCCTTCAAGAATTGCTCTACAAAAGATATTGAAATAATGGCAGAATATAATTCCTAAACATTTTGTAATCCTTTTTATAACGACAATGTAACCACATTTTACCGTGCATTTTGCAAACTAAATCAATTTATTAATCTATACGTACAACATAGTTGGGCATCACACACATGTACCCAGTGGTTCTAAATACAACCTTTCCAAGTCAAATTGAAATGGGGGTATTGGTGTTTGGGGAACAAGAAAAACTTTCAGAGAAAGGCCAAGAGCCAACAATGAACTACAACCACATTTGACACCAGGTCCAGAAATCAAATCAGAACTGCCGTAGAGTGAAACAAATAAGGCACAAATAATGTTTTACTCGAAGGGTTATATTTGACAGTAGTAGAAAAACACTAATGAACTCGTTGCCCTCATTACCCTACAAAAACACCTAAAAATCGGTATAAGAATTTAAAAGTTGTTTACATCACAAGATTCAAAATTTAAAAATAAGTATCCTATCGGCAATTAAAAATAGATTAAAAAAATTCTTCATTAAAATAATATCATTCAAAATCATCTTTCAAATGGTGAGGAACCTTTCTGGTCACTTTCTGAAAATTTCTCATATAAACTGCTCTTGAAACTAACAAAAGAGACTTTCTTCCATGTGCTTTACTCTATAGGGTTCCATTCCGTTATTGTCCTAACCATAAAAGTTCGCCCTCGCTCAGTCTTTCTTGAATACTTCGGACAAATTAAGTTAAAGTTGGAATATCGAGTCTCTCTTTCGTGGATATCCGAATTTGCAATTAGAAAGCGCCCTCATAACTGCATTACATGTATCTCTGCCTCCCAAATTGATAATTTTCAAATAGCATGAAAATACTTTCCATAGTTCTGTGGGCTCAGTAATACTCCTCTTATCATTACATCAACACTGACCTGATGGCGTCAGAATGTAACTTGCAGTCTGATACATCCAAACATTTCAGAGCCTGGGAGGTGCTAAAAAACTGTGAGGAAAGTAACCAACATCAATATTTGAAACAATTCCAACGAAATTGATCATGGATGCCACAAACAAAAGAATTTAACATTGATATTTATCATGACACAGAGCACACCAGATTTAGAGTTTTAGTTTTATAAAAAGTAGCATACTAGAAGGCAAACAAATAATTTTACAGCAATTTTAAATTGAATATCAGTAACAGTAAGGATTGTTTTGATTTTGCTTTACTTTGCTTGGTGCATGGAGAACTTCCTCCACAACATCAACTAATCAGATAAAAAAAAAGTGCAACTAGGTCACCCATTTTTGCCCACTCTATCAGCAGTTTGCTTGTTCTTGTGTATCATTTCCATTATAAGCCCTTTGTGATATTTTTCTTTCCTCTAATTCTGGGCTGTTGAGATTTCTTTCATATGAGCTCTACAACACTCAATTGAAATGCACTCTACAAGGGGATTCTATCTTTCCATATTCAAAAGTTATTCTCCCTTCTAGGTGTTGCTGTCAATTAAATGAAAATAATTTAGTCTTCTATCACGACAACACTCTCCTACGGATAACCTTTTAATTTCTAATGTGTGAATAATGTGGTGAAGTGTGGGGAGCTTTTACAGATTCGTGCGACTTTCCATTGAGAGTCGAAAAAACCAAAACCAAAGTAATCAAAACAGACAAATCAGAAGAAAGGAAAATACCCTGAAGAGCCAATGAGATCTCAAAGTCAAAATTACCAGACTGCCTCAAGCGCGGGAAAATGTGGGCAATCAAGTTGTGATTGGTTAAGGGAGTGGTGCGATTTTTCTGCACCAATCACAGAGTGAACTAAAGCAAAAACAACTGCAATCTCAGATTACTTCTGGTACTCAATTGCAAATTGGTGTAATCTCCTTTCAGAGTTAAAGGGTTAAAAAGTACACCGTGTGATGTGAAGGTGCATCAAACATTTCCACAGTAATGTATACAAATTGTCTTTATTATTCCTCTTTCCCTTCATTCACTTCTTTGGAGTTTTAAGCCCAACTTCAAAGCTACATGTACAACTGAAACAGTAATCTTACCTTTTTGAATGAAGGTGGAACAACTGCATCTTTAGTTTTCCTGTGAAAAATTTAAAAAACAGATTGGTTAGCAACAACAAAATATTAAATTCACAGCTAAATTTACAAAAATTGCACAATTCCAATTGAGTTTCAATCTCTCAGATTTAGTGTGGCAGACATTGCTCTTGATATGGTCTCTTATCTTGCTTACTTATAAGCTTACAGTGTATATTTGCTTACTTTGAGGTAAAACTGTTACCAGCCACTTTGATGGTTGCTAAGTGTTGAATGCAGCCTCGGATGAGAGCACCAAACAACTGGAAGAGATGAAAATTCCATCATTAGAAAAACACTGCAATTCTAATACAACTAAATGCAGGCTAACCAATAAGGAATGATTATGGAATCAATGAAACAATGAAAAACACCATTGGAGTAATGTTAAATAGACTCAAATAAGTCAGATGACGTTCATAAGACTGGCAAAGGACAAAGATTATAAGCAAAACAAATGTTTAAATAATAAAATAATAATTTATTGTTACCAGGTCAAGAGGACATTCAGTTGATGAGAGATCCAAGTAGGTCAGCATATTTGGCTTGGCTAAGAAGTCACATAAACCCTACAAAGGAGGAAAAAACTTGTTCTGGTAAGAATTAATTAGAGCCTTTTCCTATACTAAATGCATTCAATGTCAGAATCAGATAACATATGCAGTATTCAGCTGAGAATTTCTAGTAGCCAGCTGTAAAAGAAACAACAGCCAACAAAGAAGAACATTTTATTTTTAATCAAAGAGAGGTCTGTTTGGTTTAATTTAAGTGGCTCCTGCATAAGAAACAAGGACTAGCTGGTGAAAACCCTGACCACCAGGGCTTCTAAAGGACACTGATTATGAAAAACAAGGACTAGCTGGTGAAAACCCTGGCCACCAGGGCTTCTAAAGGACACTGATTATGAAAATCATTATCACAGAGAGTCAAACAACTACATGGATTCTAACAATCCCAAGAGAGAAACTTACAGCAATTCCATCTGCTTTAAGAGGATTTTTGCTCAGATCCAGTCTACATGATCAGAGAAACAGTACACAAACAAACATATCAGTAATACTATTCAGCATACAAGACTGACTCATATCACTGTTGAAGCTTATCAGTGCAGCAGAGTCTGTAGCATGGAGTGGCCAGTAGGAGTTAAATGTATTTGCTACTCTTCTAGTGTGAATGTTAGTCTGTTGCACATACCACATGGAATTTGTCAGGACCATCTAATAATTAGCCAGAACACATTTATATGCCTGACTAAGGAAAGACAATGTGAGGAGGGGCATGAACCCAAACACTTCAATCCAAAGTCCAGTCCAGTTCAGGCTACCAAGTCTCCCCCAGAGAAACTTACTTATAGAATAATGTGGGTCTAATTTCAAATGTTGTTCCTGAAATAACATAAAGTGAGTGAGGATATCATCCACTCAGAAAAGATAGTTATACAAATAGGCAAAAAAAAGAACATCTGAAATAAAACTTAGGGTTTGCTCACATTCATATCTATTAAAGACAGAAAACAGCAGGCACAAGTAGCTAAAAAGTCTCTACCACAAACTGCTTCATGTCAGGAGCTGCTTTCAAAACAGCTCAATGAGATTTATTTTATTGCAATAATTATAACAAATTGAAGCCAGTTTCTTTTTTACCAAAAGTCATGTCACTTGATATCTCAAAGTGTTTTCAAGCCTTAATTAAAAGATTAAAAAGGTTCTGCAACTTACAAATGAATTAATAACAGAAGAATATGAACTACATTCATTAAAAAAAAAGGTTTGCTCACCTGTTAAAGCACATGTTACATACCTTTGCAATGAACTTTCACTATACTTGCTTGTCTTTAGGGCCTGACCCAAAGTAGAAGCTCCTGGAAAATACAAAAAGGAAAAACCTGTGAATGAAAGATGTTTCTTCTTTGCAGATTGATCAAGGGTTCAGCACTGGCAAACTGCGTCAGAAGGGAGGGGAGGAAGTTGACATGAAAGAGCTGGCAATTTATTTTTGTTTTGGATTGCCTGTAATTGCATGGTGGTGTTGAAAGAAGCTTTTTACCTCTGCAGTGTGCTAATAAAAGTATGGACAGTTTTGCCAGCTAAGTTGTATAGGCACTTGTGAATCTGAGCAAGGTTCCTTGTAAAATATTTCAAACCCAAGTTTCTACATATTTTAAGTATCTACCTTTTGATGTGATTCCATTGTCGGCAAGAGAAAGAAAAACCAAACCATGAGGAAGGTTACTGAATGCACCAGATAAGTGTATTAAACCTTTACAAACAAAGGAAAAACAAAAAAATAACAAACATTTAGTCAGTTATAACAAATAATCATTGACAAAATGTCTATATACAGTTCAAAGAGGTGTCTACAGGGAAAAAATCTACACTGGTACAAGTTCTTAACCAAGATGAAAACTAGATTTGGTTTTATGATGAGTTAATCTTTTTCTCCTCATCTCTCATTCTAACCGATAAAGGCACAATTCATTGGCAAAAACTGCATGTGAACTACCTGTCTCAGTCCACCAGGAAGTTGGTTTCATACAAAGACAAGTAGGTCTTCTTTGCTCACATAAAAAAATTAAAAGATTTTGTGCCAGACTGAAATTCTCACTTTAGTGCAGCAACCAGGGTGAACTAGCACTATTATGACTCACCACCACATAATATTTTCTTTTCTTTGTCACAATTATAATAATAATATGTCATTTTCTCATGTGCATGCATGAATAATGAGCTATGAGAGGGAACCAAAGCGAACTCATGTTGGTCTAAATATCTATTCTGTATCATGAAGACAACCTCTAACAGAATCACATTAACATGTAGCATATGCCTTTAAATTTAATTTTTAAAGGAAGAAGCAACCGTTTTGGAAGTAATGGGCACTCTGAAAGTAGAAATTCTAAACAGTTTTGGGAAACTGCCAATAATGTCATTTACTAAACTTGATCGCAATTCATTTGAAAGCAATGATGTTTTACACTGAACGTTAAGATGCTATATAGTATATATCATGTTTTAATGGAGGGGGGGGGGGGGCAGTGGGGGCATCAGCAAAGAGGAAGATCAAGCCATTGCCAAATTTAGAACATGTCCTAAAGATGGAGTTTCCCTTAGGAACATTTCAAATAACAAATATCCACCATGGTCCACATGTACAGGTACAGATGAATTTTATCAAATTTATCAACTATGTTCAACTGAGACATAATTCTTACTCAATGGCCAGTGAGCATCATTATTTTGCAGTCCTGCAAAAGACTGAGCTGTGATTGATGACATGTTATGAAATAATAAAGTGATCAACAAAGACTTAAAAACCAACCTCTATCCTCAATGGAGTTGATGTTTAAACTCAAGGAGTGCAAAGCTGTTTTGGGATTTGATGTGAGAGCCAATGCAAGTTTCTGACAATGATCCCTAAAAGGTCACAAATTGAACAACTATTATAAAGCAGAGTTCAGGAAAGACCAGGAAAATCAAAACAAAGGAATGGTAACTACAAGGTCAACATTCTCACATACATTTACAAGTCATGCATTTTTCTACATGTGTGCAAGCCTCTAGTGTAGTTTGGTGTAGCCTTGATGATCTGCAATCACTGACTGGGGTTAATTTGCCTCTTTTCCTGCCTCCACTGTGGTCTACTGTCAAACACTACCTATAGCCAAGTCTCCTTTGGTTGCTGGTTAATATTGGTCTGGTTCAGCTTAGTCTAGTGTGGTCTGATAATACCTAATCTCTTCTTATATTCACATCTGGTAGTTCATAAATATACGAGGTCTAATATCTCCTCTAGTTTAGTAAAGCCTTATCATCATTATAACCTGGTTGGTTTCTGGTCTAGGCTTTTCTCTAGTCTACATGTAATCTTGTCTACAAAATTATATTCTAGTCTTATCTCCTGGCTTTGTCTAGTTTATTACCCGCTTTACCCCCAAACAAACACGTAGTCTGACATCTGTTCTAGTCTCGTTGCTGGTCTACCACCTTGCATATAACCTAGCATAGATTGGCCAAGTATCTGGTCTACATGTATAACTTGTTTCTGGTCACATTCTAACCAGGTTGAACGAAGCCATTGGGAAACGAAGGTAGCTGTAGCCCACACAATAAATGATACCACTAACTATCTATATTGCCCTTATATAAACCTTACATTGTAAAGAAAATATGTGGCCATAATCAATAGATTGCATTTCAATAAAACAACAATCAGATTCTGATATCTTAAATTATTCTACATCCATGTTCAGTCCACTATGTACCTGCCAAAACCAGCACTATCAAGTACTAGTTCTTCCACTGTTGTAGACTTCTTTGCAGCTTTGCAAATGGCATCACAGACTTCTGATCCCTAATAAAAGGAATATTTAACAAAAATTGTAAACAAGATTAAAGTTAAACAAGCCATTTACCACTCTTTCCAGACAAGAAAACATACAGCCTTGTTGGAAGATGGTTTGGGTTCATTGAAAGATTGTGAGCTCTTTTTGCATGTATTTCAAGACTAAGTTTCCCATTCTCTCTGTTACAGTATCAATTCAGATGTTTGCAAACACATACCAGTTTATATGAGTCACATGTCACTTTAGTGAACCAATCATTATACTCAAGAGTTGAAATAAGAGGAACCAAATCCCTGGAAGATTAAGGAATAATTGTAATTAGAAATGATCATAAATGAAACATTACTGCACAATGGAAGCTACAGCAAATGCTGGTGCACCAGATAATTCTTACAACTAACAAGAATCACAGAGGTAGACCCACTACAGAAACTGAATGAAAACAAGAGCAGTCATTACGTTTTGAAGAAACCATTATATTGGAGATATCAGTGTAATAGTTATGTGGCAAAGTAAAACATCACAGCAATCAACATCTTAACACATAACATTGAGTAAGCTCAGCTGCAAAGGATGTTATGGAATACACCCCCTTATCAAAAGCACTGGGAATTTTAAGAGTGACATGTATGTCTGAAATGGTCATATGAGAACAACATTGAAAATTATGATTGTTCAATGACAAGTAGAAGTATCATGCAATTTATGGCCAGCATTTTGTCCTTTGCAAAGGACTTGAACAGATATTTTGCACAAACCATGTTACACATTACAAAACAGCTGACTTACTTGTGCTCAAGATGATCAAAGTCTTGAATGTTCAACTCTTTGGTATTGAGTGATAAGTAAATTGTGTCAATATCCTGCAGATACAGCAAGAAAACATAAAAAGCTTTAAAACTGATCAAAATGTACACTGTTATTGAACATTGTATTTCTCAGAATCACCAATGCCAAATGCTCAGACCAAAAAAACTAATAAATGCCATCTTTATTTACCAATTTTATTCACCATAAATACATACCCAAACAACCTCTTCAAGATGTGGCTGGCCATAGAAATCACACATTGACACATACACTTTAGAAAATCCACCTTCAGAAAGAGACATACAGAAAATGCAGAGTAGGTAGATTCAGCACAGTAATTATTATATAACAACAATAATAACAAAAGCTAACTAAAACTAACCAAAATCATGATTATACTTGTAATTAAAATTGCAAAAATCTTAGAACTAATAATCAAATAACAGCAATATATTAACATTACTGTATCCCTTGATGCAAGGAGATACACATGGCTGTTGGTATATAGATGCTTTGCTGGATGTTCCTGAAAGCCAACTACCTATGTTTTCTAAATTACATTTTAAAAAATATTGAAATGCACACAAGTGTATCAGTGACATAGAGTGCAGCAAACCTTTCAGCACGTGTGATGCTAATACAGGGACTGATAGTGAAAGGTACTGACAGTAAACTTTTGACCTCATTTCTTCAATTCCTAAATTTATCATACCATGAACCTCTCACAATTTATCAAAAATAAACATTCACCACAACTCACCACAAGGTCCAATCTCCACATCTCCTCCTGAATTCCGCAGGTTATTGGCCAGTGTGGTCACCTGTTCTTGCCTCATGTCACTCTCTTCTGGTGGTCCATATGTCACCCTCAGAGAACGGCTGTAAGTTTGTGTTAAGAACAACATTCAAACCTCCACAAATCTATATATGGAAAGCTGCCAAACTGTAGAACACACTTTTTTACCTCACAAATCGGTACTGTTATTCCCCACAGTATCAACAAGCGCTTTTCATTCAATTAATTTATTCTTGTTTTCTCATCACCATATTCCCACCAATAGCATAGCTCTATTTTCTGCATATAAATCCTCACACAACCCACAATTCCTCCAATCACTCTGACAAGGGGCTAACACTTGAAACATCAGCTTTTAAACTCTTTACTGTGGCCAATTTACATTATCAACTCAGTTAATAATACTAAATTACTAATTAAAATCTATGCACAGCCATTTTCACCAACATTCATAAATATCATAAGAATAAATAAGAAATACCGTAAACGTCCATGTATAAGCCCCACTTTTTTTCACAAAATTGAAGCCAAAAATCACAGGTGCAGCTTATCCATGGATACATACCAGAAAGCTATGAGAATCTCTTTGGAGATAGCGATAGCGAGGACTTTTATGGCTTTTAATAATAAACACTGACTATATCAAATGTTCACGTGAAGAACAGTAGCATCTTTTATAAATTACCTGAAGTATTGTAATATCAATTAATGAAATAGAAACTGATATGATTGCATCAGTGGGCATGCTTTATGTTCATGCCCAGACCCAGACTCCTCCCAACATTTAAAGCTTGGCTACTAAGCACTTGTTTTTTTTTTCAATGCTGAAGGAATTTCAACTTAATGGCTTGTTTCGAAGTGATAATCTTGAAAAATCGGATGGAAAGAGCATTTTAAGTTAAAGATGGTGTAAATTCCAATGAAAAAGAAGGTATGACAAATGAAATTCTGCTTTCTTTAGACTTAATAAATGTGAAAGATAGCCACAACTTCTCTGTCGGTGTTTCGAAACCTTGATTGTTTGTAGCAATACATCTCCACTGAAACTTCAGACTGTATTGTTTTTATTTTTTTCCAAATTCTGCGCTTACAAATTGGGGGTGCAGCTTATCTACGGATGCGGCTTATACATGGACGTTTACGGTAATTGCCAACCTAAGAAGCTTTGATTGTTAAATGAATTCTCCTTGTTGATATCAAAGGAAATGTATAGAGAACAGTGTGGAGAATATGCATACTGATGCTTAGCTGGAAAGGGTTCAGTACATATTTATCTAATAATAATATAATAATAATACTTACTCTGGGTTACCCGATGGAAAGTTTGATTTGAGAGCAACCAAGATGTGAGCAATAATCTCTGTGCAATCTTTGGGTTGAAAAAGTCTGAAATAATTTGGCTTCTCCCCACATAATACTGTCAACTGAAATAAAATGATCAAATGTTTCACTGTATCAAAACACCAAAATATCATACATGGATATTAACTGGAAACAGCACCTAGTAAAAAATCAGTTATAGAATATATTAATTCTGGATTTGACATTGTATTTAAAAAGTATGAAATTATTACTGACACTATTTTAAAAGAGTAGACCAGTCATCATACAATACCAAAAATGAAACAGATTGAGTCTTATAATTACTTCAGGGTGTTGCTGGAAGTTCAGTTAAGACTGATTCACTCATCAATTGGTGAGATAAAGTATGATGACCTGAAAAATTTAGACGTGACTGAAAGTGATCCTCGCAGTGATGCACACTACTTGAGAAGTAGTGAAAATAAGGCCTGAAAAAAAATTCAGGCCTTGTTTTCACTACTTCTCATTGCGATTGACAAGTAGTGTGCATTACTGCGAGGATCACTTTCATTCACATCTTTATCCGCAGTTCAAATATATGACTTTCATATATTCTTAGCCTGAAAAATTTAGAGTAGTGTAACTGCCTTTCTGAAAACAACTTACCAAGAGAGGTTTACTACTTTCAATTTTCTGTATTTCCAAAACATGCATGCTAAAATCCACCTACAAAGATAGAAAGGGAGAGTAGCTGTAAGCTGCATTTCATGCTCAGTCATGGCTCTAAGACTACAACTGAATATGCAATATGCAATATTGAAACTCATCAAAATATTTCATTAACTCTAATAGGCTATTTTACAGTTGTGTACTTAGTTGCCAAGCCTTTGATTTGGAGTGAGGCTGAAGTTGACCATGTTGTGACAGAGACCAGGATCTAGTTAGTATAATTACAAAGTAGTTTACATTTGAAAAGCAGCAAGGTTTGTATCATAACAAGATCACCCTTAGCCTCATTCCTGTTCAAAGGCTTGGCAACCAAGCACACAACTGTAAAATGGACTATTACAAAGAAAATAATATTTGTATAATATTTTGACCAAACAAAATAATTGAATGATTCTTTCACAACATATCAATTCAATTTTTAAATTTTTCAGTTATCATAATGCCACTGAAGCACTCAGAAAAACTCTTTTCCTCCTAAAAGACCAGATTGATTCAGCAGATCAACAGTTTCTGGTACATTTTTGCTAATGGACATGAGAGGAAAGAAATGCTTATAATGCCTTTTACTATTGCCAGAGCATTGCAGTGAGGAATTGAAGAGGACAAGAATTCTAATGAACCTTTATTGTTGTTGTAAGTTATGACAAAAACAAAAATATTACCATCCTTAATATAAGTTTTACCTTGCAGCCATTCTTGGTGCTGGTAAGTACATAGAATCGATGGGCTGAGAGAGCCTGAAAAAATACAAGGACTGTTTAAAAAGAACTCAAGTTCTTTTTGTTTTCACGCAAATGAAAGAAAATTATTCAAAAATGCCATAAAATAGCTCACAGGTACACCTAAAAAAATACTAGGAGTGCATCAAGGATGCAGTAATAATCATTTAATTAAGAAAGAGACTGCATTTTCTATCAGTTTACCGATGTAATAACCCATGTGGGAGAACAGAACACACATTTGTTACTCCCAACATCCCATCTCTTTTGTACTAGTGCATCAGTAGAAGAACAGTCTATTTCTTCTATACATTAGACTTTAAATGTTTCCATTTTCTAAAGGTTTAGCAGTGCACTAAACAGTAGGTTTTTAGACCAATCATCACACTCATAGTATGCCTATCAGTTCTCTTACAAAGAAGATTGACATCTCATATTCTGCAGTGGCAGAGAATTATTTTATATAATCAATTAAAACACATTTACATTTACATCCTTTAAACTGTATCTAAACACAACTATGTGTGAACTATCCTATTTCCTCTACATGTATATAAATTTCAAATCAATTCAATTTCATATGACATGCAACTAAAAAGAAAAAAACACAGCAAAACTAAATTCTGCTCTGATTAAAATTTCCCAGCCATGTTATGGGAGACTGGACAGGTTGACAAATAACCTGCCTCATTAACTTTTCCTTTTGTTCTCTCACAAGGAACTGATTATGATCAATATCAGCTTAACAATGAAGCACAAAAATAAGCCCATGGAAAAAAATAGAAAGCATGTGTTTTATGCACGAACAGCTGATTGTACAGAATAAATTCTTTATGTATACTTTTATTTGCACACCAGGGTGTCCCCTTGCAGTTTATTATGCAAGGTAAAAGCAGAGATCAGAAGAGGCCCTCAGGCAGAATAACACCACAGACACAGGAATAATTCTAATACATTAAATCCATAACTGAATTATTCATTCACTAGATAATCAAAATTAGTCAAAAAAAATTCAGATGAAAGAATGACCATCTCATTACAATAATCACTTCCCTCTCAATTTACTTCAATCTTCAATCTCTGCAAGTCCACCTTCCCCCCACAACAACAATGGCCGGTAAAGTACATCATGCAGTGTAATTGCCAAAATACCCTCTCCTCCAGCACCAGTTTATTAACAACTGACACAAAATACTGTATAAAATGGTACAAACACACCCTTGAAAACGTAAATTCAACACACAAAAAATGTCTTTACCCCCTAGATGCAAAAGTTTTACAAATGAATTTTTTTCACATTTTCCTCTAAAAATCAAGTAGTGGTTGTTTTGAACTTGTTATACCATTAAACAAAACCATTGGCATTTGTAACTAAAAGTGTTCTTGCATTCAACAGGTGTCATATTATACTCAATTCTTTCCTGTATCAGTCAGCTCTCTGCAAAAGCAACTGTCCTTGTTATGGAGAAGTTTAAATGTAAACAGACTGTAAGCATATGAGTACATCTTCTAACTAAAGTATATGTAAATTCAGCTTGCACGCCCCTTGTCTCTTAAAGTAAACCAATACTTTTAAGTATCAAAATTAAGTGTTTTTGACAATGAAACAGAGTGTTTTATTAACTAGAAAATTATGGTTCAAGAGTGAGTAGACATTCTCACTTATAAAATCCATCCTTGATCCTCGAAACTATTGATAAATCAAGGCTCAAGGATTGAGAATTTATCAACATTGAACATGCATACATATACATGTATATAATTATGTACAGTACCATCATCATTTTGTAAGAAAAATTAACAAGTTTATGGAGCTAACAGCAATATCGCCCAAAGTACTATGCTCCATAAGAGTGTACAAAACAAAGGGAATCAAGTATAATAAGTACAAACAGATTAACAGTGATATATGCTAGGTTTTGACTGTCTTTTCTGACAAAATCAGATATTGGATTAAGGCTTTAAGATAAAGTCATAGACACTCTTCCTGCTTTTAAATGAGAAATACAACATAGTTTCCCCAAAAATGATAGAATGACACCCACACAGGCACCATGTACATGAAGGCTCAATTCTTCTTCAAGCCTTGCCAACTCCTTGTGCGACATTTTACAGCAATGACAATTTTCCTTTACATTTATGTATATTTTCATAACCCATTATAAGTTATTACTTCTGTTAATAAGTTTTTAAGTACTAGACAGAACCAACTGCAAAGTAGATGGCCAGTGGAATTTTCATCTTTACTCTAACTAATGATGTTAGTTTCGGAGAAAAAAAGGCTGTAATTTTGCTTTACATAGACAGCAAATTTTGCAGGTTGCCAGATCTTATTGAAACTCTTAATTACAACATTTAACTTGTCCTTGCCTGTAAAATCCTGTAACATTATGTATTAACCATTTCCTCTTTTAGAGGTAAATCTGAAGTTTGATGCCAGTGAAGAATACATTTTTACCACTCTCTATAGGAACACTATTGATGGTAAATAAGTACAGTGAGCCCAAAAATCTCTTGTATAAAGATACAATTCAAAACTTGTTTAAGATCAATATCACACTTTCGATTCCCATCACCTACATTTTCAAGAGCTTAAATAATGACAAAATGTATGACAATAAAAGATTATGAAAGCAATTTTATATACCAGTTCGCTGTTATCACTTGCATCATTTTTTTTGTCTGACACTCAAGATTTAAAAAATTGTTCCTGAATAAATCTACTATATACAGAGACTACGGTCAGTTGAAAAAGTTAAGTCAGTCTCATTCAACCAGCCAAGGTCTCAAGATCCACAATATTCTTTTCAATTTTCTTACCATAAAAAGAATTATTAGTACAACAATAGATTACCCTGGAGATTTTGGTGCACAATAAAAGTTGTACACAAACATAAGCCATAGTGAGAAGATTGCACATGAAAATTTCAAACTTTTGAAATAAAAAATTTTGGGGGTAGGTATGGCTTTTAAATACTTTGGCATCTGGGCCAGAGCATAATTTGGCAAGTCTCTTGTGAAGGGTAACTTGTTTTAAGCTTGCTCTCTTAACTCACTCACATGGTTTCTGCTTAACAAGGTTAACATATATTTGCAGTTGTTTAAGAAAACTCTCCTAACTCTTCACAGAATTCACATAAATTTTATTTATTTCTATGTCCCACAATTAGAGTTAGAGAAAGATCTATATCATCCGAAATCGAATGATTTGGAGACATTCAATATCACTGCATTAAGTTCACATAATAATTTATATTGACAAGATCAAACATAAACTTAAGCTATATTTTGTCTATTTTGAAAGTACTGCTTAAAACTTATAAACCCCTACACGCTAAAGTATGGTACAAATATTGTACAAGAATGTGCACCATTCCAGTTCACACCTAACATAATCATCGTCTCTAAATATAATTTGTTGATTGACCATCGAATCAAATAAACTGAAGGCATACAATATTTTGCCAAAACAATCCATACGTAGCGATCGAAACGAAAAACTGTCGAAAGTTCAATTATACAAATTAAAAAATTTAAACGCTGAATTCGAGGAATATCTTTCTCAAAGGAATTTTTCTGCTCCACGATGGATACATTGAACTTCACACAAACGAAACCAACCACTCGTAATATTGTTAGGTTTGCAATCACGAGATTAGAGCCGATGATCTCCTCTACTGCCATGAAACAAAGCAAAACAATCCGAAAACCGAGAAACCGAAAGCTTGAGTTAAGTTTTCGATAAAATCACCAAGATATCATCAGCTTTCCTGTTGCTTACCAGTCTCAACAAACGGGAAGAAACTTTACAGATCGCTAAACTACCCACGGTGATCGTTTATGAAGAGAACAATTGCTACTGCTGGAATGTTTTGACTCAATAAATTGGCCGGAGTAAAGGTCCATAACACAATCACTGGAACGAAATTATGATTTCAAAACCATAAATCGACCACGAACACGCAACAATGGTTACAAAGAGACACGAATATCTCAAGTTGAGAAATGAAACCGTTCATGCTCAGAAACCCTATTGCTAAGGTCTACGGCAAACACCGTGTTTGTTTGACAAATACTCACCAAAATTCTAGCCTCTGAGCGGTCGCCCTTGAATTCTATAGTCCCTTTCTTGATGAAGGCTAATTCTATGTTCCTCCTGATCGCCAACTGTACATTTTCTGTGGACATGATCGCATAAACGCAAACAAATTCAGCTCACGTTGAAAAACTGATATAAGCACCCAATCTTGACGGAAGTTGCCGCGGCATGTGAGAAAATTTTTACATTATAAATATCACTCGTACCTAAAAGACCGGGCTCTATTTCTGCGGAATCATCCCCCATGACTTTTTCCGACCAAATACGCTGAGAAATCCAGCGCCCAATGCTGTTAAGGTAAATCTAAACACGGGGCAAAAATATGAACTGCTTGTCACACATTCACTTCTCCTTCCTGTTCAAGCATTTAAGTGATTACCATATTAGGCGTGTCACCCATTGACTCCGTAGGGTGGGGTAAGGGGTTGATACACGGCAAATCTGTTCAAAAGTTTTCACCTGAGAGGTGAGTCGCTTGAAGAAATTGCAGTACTATTTTTGTGTGGATTAGCGATGTTTTTTTCGGCATAAGCGAATTTTTAAAGCTCGAAACGACCACAATTGCAAGAGGAACTATTTTTTGCTCGAGCAGCGGATCATTAACGACGAAACATAACATTTTCACTTCGTGTCAGTGAAATTTCACTGAATACAATTATGCGAAGATAAAATCTTTTTGTCTGAGAAGACATAACATAACATGATCAACATACCATGATATTTATTTAAGATGGAGAAGTAAGATGTCTGAACAACATGACTGACATACCAAGAAAGATAAACAAAATTGCTTTCCATTTTCCTTACATACTTTCTGAATAGTTTTTTTCTTTGGATTGAATTAAGGTAGAAAACATTCCGGAAGGCTCACTTCGAAAGATTTTAAATGTTGATGAGAATGACCTTGAACTACACGCTGTGTGAATTTTTATGAACCCTGTAATTTGCATAAATTCCATTACAACTAAGGTATTTAATTTTAAAACGAATTATCTCTTGCTTAGACCACTCTCTTAAACTGTTTTAACAATACACTTATTTTAATCTGTTATTTCCTCCAAATGATGACGATGTTTAGGACTCATTAGTATTCCAAATTCACAGAAGTTAAGGCAGGTTATGTAACTCACTTCCTTGTTTTTTGTTCTTGTTTTTTTTTTTGTTTGTTTTTTTTGTTTTTATTTTTAAAGAATCAAAGTGCTCTAACGAGTCAATAGTTTTGAATTTATAAGTCTAGATGAATTAATTAAACTGTCTTAAACTTAAATACGTCTCCAACTTAACCTGGTGACAGAACAATACACAAAGACAAAAGGTATGAATTAAAATTCCAGAGATATGTTTACAGATATCAAAAGTTTCAGTAGTACCCCAAACTATTCTAGAACAAAACCCAAGTCCCAAAGGGAATAATCTTCAAGACCCAAGTATTCAAACATCAGAGTGCATCAAGTAACCAACTGTCTAACTCAGACTCTTCAATGTTGTTAGTTGCTTCTATTTTTATCTTTTACCTATTAAAAAAAACAATGCTTGATACTGTTGACTGTTTCTTGAAATTGACACTTCCAAATGGAATTAAGACTTAATAACTCAAAGGTCTCACTGTAATATTTACTTTGTAATATTGTCAGGCATTGTGGCACATTTTGCAGGCTAAGAAAGAGATATGACTGGGCTTACATAACCCTGCATGCACACATGATTTTTCATACTTCTGTAGGATTTTTCAGTTTGTACTTTCCCATTCCCCTCCAAGTGATAATTATAGTAAGAATGTTCATGTTTACGCAAATAAGTATTTTTGGGTCCTTCTTAGAGTTATTAAATCCTTCACCTTCTCGGGGTCAGGCTCAAAACATATTTATGCCTGCAAACATAACCTCTATTGTCTGTAAGGGCTAATAAAAATGGATTTATGAATCATCAAGCTGCCATGTTACTTCCTCATTGCAGTTTCATCACATCACAAAATGAATAACCAACTAAATATTACATCATACTTATATTAATAGAAGACAAAAGTTGTATGGTTCTTTTTTTATTCTTTTTTATTAACAACCCAGATAATTTTGTTCCAAAGTATGTAATCATTTTACACAGAATTAAATAGATGCATGTTTTAAAAAAATATTCCCCCCTAACATTATTGAAAATAATTTCAAGAACATAGATATGACCAGTTCCTCATTGTTTGCACCCTCAATTATCATTGGAGTTGAGAAGTAACATTAGACAACAAATAATTCTTAAGGACATCTTCTAGTATACTGGTAATTTAACACTCAAACCTAAAGGAAGCATAGCAAGAACTGCTTTCCATTTTGCAGGTTAGAGACTGTTCAAAACATTTCATCATTTTCAGAATTAATTTATTCTGCAGTGATTGCAATAAATTAGCTTGTTCAAGGCTTTTAGTTTTTAGCAGCAACTAGAAAATTGGCAAAGCAAAAAAGGTTGTACATCTTCTGCAAGTCCTTTTCCATGTCACTTTTGTATTGTCTCCACTGCCTAAAACCCTGGGTACAGAGAAATCAAAAGTTGGTTCCTCTTTAACAGGCACATAAAATGAGGGCTTGGTCATATCATTTGACATTCAGTTTCAATAAAACAGACAATGCTCACACTGACTTTGTCAACAAAGTATACAGATTAAGGTAATTCTTATTCTTAGAATCACTAAGGCATTAAACGAAACTCAAAATGGTTACAATTTTGGTTGATCAAGAGTTAATTCTTTAGGTGACACTATAATACCATCGAGATCTGCATAAAGATAATGACCGGGTGTGAATGTCACTCCTCCAAACCGCACAGCAATATCTCTTTCTCCCAAACCTTTCTTGATGGATTTCAATGGCATTGTGCCTAAAGCTTTCACCCCCACATCCATCCTTGAAATCTCTTCAGAGTCTCGTATACAGCCATACATAACAACACCAGCCCAATTGTTCTTCATCACAAGTGAAGCAAGATTGTCACCAAGCATGCCACACCTTAGTGACCCTCCTGCATCCACCACAAGGACCTGAGCATAAAAAAGATCAGTTTAGAGATTTCAATTATGCAACAATATTGGTGTACAGAGAAATCATGGTTCTCAGAACAAGTTGTCATCCAGAAAAATTTTTTTTCAACCTCTAGCAGTCAGAAAGCTGTCAGCAGTTTGTCATTTTCTAAACACACTTTCGTTTAAATCAATATTTGGAAATAATGAATTGGCAAAATTTCTTCCAATGTCATCAATCAGGTGCATGTGTAGTCTGCCTTGTTGCTTCCTGGGAAGAATTGGGTGTGGAAGTTATCAAGCAGCAAATATTGATCAAATCAGAGATTTACAAGGAAGAAAAAATTATGCTTGATTTTATTTCAAGCTGTTTTATTTCCCCTTGTGAAACTGTAGAGAGAATTATGTTTTCAAGATAACACCAGAAAGGCTTATGAGCTTGCTTGATAAATAATCTTGAGAAGAAGTTACTATGTTATAACATCTAAGAATACTTTAAAGTTCTTCTGATCTACCTTGGAGAGATAAAAGTTAAACATTCTTTATTCTGCCAAACTTATGGTTAATCTGAGTCAAGTACATTTCTTTAAGCCGTTCACTACAAATATCTTACAAGTAATTCCCTTTACTGTCTGCCATAGAATTCTACTAATGATACTTGGGAGAATTTTGTAGTGGGTCCACCAATAATTCCCTAATTAATCTTTCTTTGTTCTCATCACTTGGCTATTTGATATTGTACAAATGTCTGCTTGATATTGTTATTTATGTTGGAAGGAGAAATTGTGTTTTGGTCACTCATGGGAGCTAATGTCTAACTCCATCGACAAAGGAGAAAAACGTAAATTCTACTTACTTACGACAATTCACTACAAACAATATTTTAAGGCTTATTTTATTAAAAAAACAAACAAAAAAACAAAAGAAAAGATAAAAATGTAAACAAGATTTTGCATGATACGTACAGGTAAATGCTGAGTAATGTCACATGAAAAGCGAGTCGTCATTCATACTTATTAATACTGAAATCCCATCTACAAAAGAGAAGCGCAATGTAAACATCCTCAGAATATATAGGACTATATTTCCACCACATACTTGCCGCCGTTTTGGCGGGTTTCACTGACATTAACATTGACCAGTGGTGTGGCTTACCCGCTTGTTCCCTGGTTCACTGAGTGCTTTCTTCACGAGTACATTGTCTTCATGGCATTTCAACGTAGAAATCATTCCTCCAAATTTCGCCTTGCCTCCATAATTACGGAGGAAGTTCGCCTCCACGTATTGCAGCGTGTCGCTGTAAGCATCGCTTAAATCAGCCACATTCATTGTGCTACTATTGACGAAGAGAAAACGTCGCAAAGAAGAGTGAATGAGAAGACGGCCGTTGATTTGAGCGGGTTTAATTAATAATGCCACGCGTCGAAGTAAAGCCATTATGGATGATGCGGGAGACTGGTAACTGCTCGATTGACTCGACCTCATGATCAGTTACATCTTTAGCTTCGAAGGCTTTGGAGGGCTTTCGTAGGTAGTAAAAACAATTGCATCCACACAGTTTCTCAGAACGATTTTTGCATACATCATGAACTAGTAAGAATGATGTAATGCATATTTACATTTAATTTTTTAATTTACATGTTTATAATCAGTCAAATTTGCATCCATACCAATTTATTTAGAAACTCACAGTTAGGAGCGGATGTTTTTGTCGATGACAAATGCTCGATTTCCACAAAGCAGGCGGAAGGAGTGTGAATTACAAAGCGCATTGAAATCAGGTGACAAAGATGTTCTCAGTTGAGAAGGCTTTGAAAATTGGGCTTTCGAAATATCCTCTTAGAAAACAGACTTAAGAACAACTTCCCTTATTTAATCTTTCGATAAGATACAGATCAATTTACAGGAAATACAAACTCAATAAATTCATGATCGTCTTGGGAGGCTACACCACTTAAATCGTGATGCTGAAGGAGAGAGAGGGTTAACACAGCATAAAAATAACGAACAATTGCTGGAATCAGACAAGTTTCTCCACGCTAAGAAAAGGTAAGATTGACCGTTTCTGTGAGAAGCCATTTAATGCGTTTTTGGTGGAAGCGTATTTCTTTCCACTTTTTTGTCGACTTTGACGCATTCAACAAGTTCCAATGGCAACTCTGGAAAATTTCGGGTTGAACCGACATTCTGTGTTATGTGTTTTATAGACATAATAACGCAAACTATATGAATTTTCATATTGCTTAAAAAAACATGAGTTTGGTAATTCCCTTACCATCGCGAGCGAAGCTAAACGAGCCAAGGCGAACATTTTATATGTGACTCATTTCCAGGTCTTACACGCCTTTCGAAATGTTTGAGTTACCAGCTCAAAAATTGATTTATTAGATTGACTGTGCGGTTGATTCGTTCCAGTTGTCAATCAAAAACAAGAGCTTTTGATCTTTAAGTTAGAGCTTGCTTTCCAAGGCTGGTCAAAGGTCCCGAGTTGATCTGCAAATTCCGCTGTCATGCGATACCTCTTGAAAATGGAGGCCGCGGGTACATTGAGTAGGCAAGAAAACCCTGTCGTGAATCTTGCTTTTAAAGTATCACCCGTGGTTTCACTTAAGCGCCTCAGAAAAAATCACTTTCCCAGAAAAAATTATACTAAGCCAACATTCAAGTAATCAACCTGATACAAATTAATTTTGGTGAATCATCTTAAGTTTCATGCATCTGAAATGGAGGAATCTCTGTGTTCCGGCATTGATATCCAACTTGTTTTTCTTCAATCTCCTTGATGCGTAAAAACGTGTTCGCTTTGGTAGGTGTCGATTCATCAGTTTCGTAGAAGATGCAAAAAAAGCTTAACTTGTATAGATCAAGTAACTTCAAGTTGAGGTTATTTATTTTAATCAATAGGGTACTCAGGTTTTCAGCAATTCGAACGTTCGAGATACCTGATCAATTGTTATGTACTGGCACGCTTGCGCTTCGAATATTCCGCCTCCTTCCGTTCAGTAATCCGCTAATCCAATGAATTTGGACCGAAAATGTTTTCGCTTGCCTAGCAAAACCAGGCAAAACGTAACAAGAATCTCTTCGCCAAACGATGCAATGCAACAGGTTTTAATGTTCAGTCTGCCGGAAAAACAAGTTGAACTCAAGCGGAAGATCAAACTCTAACTTTGATGCTAACATCCGCAGCTAGCAAATCCGATTTGGAGAGAGATTTTTAAAAATCCGACAGTTAGATTCATTGACCAAATTCATTTGGAAAATCTTAAGGATGCTTGAGGTTGGCAGGAAGAATAAGTTCCTCACATCCGCATTCTTAATTTCCTGCTTATTCCGATAATTCCGAGAAACGGGCTCTAACTCTTTGTTAACATTTCAAAGCATTTTCCGTGACCACTTTTGTTGAAGGAAAAAATGGTTCAAGGTTAAGGATCCAAATTGGCTCCGAGCCTTTCCTACGCTTAGTCCCAAAACTCACGTAGCAATTCTTTCTAATGTTTTTTTTTTCCTTTTTGCTGACGTCATTGAATAACCACAACTTTGGCAGCAAACACAATAACCAGGCGCGGCTCCTAAGAAGCTACACAGTGTAGCTCTTAATTGTTCAAATAGATGGGCTAGACACAGTGTAGCTCTTAATTGTTCAAATAGATGGGCTAGATGGATAGGGAAAAACAATTGTGATACGTTAAGGTAAGCGGCCCAGTTGCTAAGCAAGATTTGTCAACAGGCAAAATGTTAGCGCATTTGAACTGGTTTAGACCAGTTTTAGGAATCTTGCATCGCGGCGAGAGTGAAAATTTTATATTTATTTACTCGATTAAACGCCCTGCCGTTTATTTAGACTTTGGCGTTTTATATGCGGCGTAGGGTGGCGTTTGTTCGAATTCGACGTTTATTTATGTTTCATAAAAAGTTAAATTACCAACAATTATTATTGGAAATCATTTGTTTTTAGTCTCAATACTAATTCTTTTTACTGAGATAGAATTGAGCTTTTATTAGTTCGTGATGTCTACATCACAGATGGATAGATTATCGAGTTGTGCTGTTGGTAATTCTTTTCGCTGACTTCTAGAAAAACACTAGATACTGCTGACTGAGAGCGTTGTTTATTCGAACGCGGCGTCTTTCGATAATTTTGCCTTCATTTTCGGCAGCGAATAAGAAATCAGCCCTAAAAAGATTGCGATTACTCATAGTGGTACGTGGTAAATATGCGTATAAAGAAATATTATCGTTTGTCTCACGATGCGTCATCTGTTCTTAAAAAAGAACTGTTCTGCTCAGCTGTGATTGGTTTGTATTCAACAGCTGTGATTGGTGCTTTTCGGAGAAATGTTCCTTAGTAGGGGCCGGCACACCGTACTCTAGCTACTGCCAGAAGCCCATTACTTTATGGGCTCCTGCTATTGTTCATGTTTTTTTTTTTCATCGACCGTCGAAATCCAAGTTTTGGGATTCATATTGTAATGTCCCTATCGACGTTATTTGGGTGAAATCTCATGTGGATCGTGTCTTTTCCCCTGCGTGTAATAATGGGGATCACGATCAGTAAAGTTTACTTCGTTTCGAAGAGGGCGGGGTCCGGTGTTGTGGGCGTGCTCTTAAGCAGTGGAGGTTGTGTCTCAGCAAGTCGAATACAGTGTCTCTGTTGTGATCCCTAACTTCCTGCCGCTCGGGTTTAGCTGTCTCGCCAATATAAACCCCGCCACCTTGTCTCGCCAGGTCAACAGCATCTATCGGCCGTGCTAAGTGCAATCGTAGCGTAGTCTCCCGCTTGAAAATAGCGTGTATACGTAGTCTTATGCAGCAACGAAGTTTTTCCGAAAGATCTTCGACAAATGGTAAAACCGCAATAGCTTTAATCTCGGTACTATTTATAGTTCCAAAACATATTTTTATCCTCACCAGACCGCCCAGGAATATCATATGTGATATCCATCTTTTCATTCTTACTTTACCTCTGTAACATGCTAAATATAGAAAAAAAAGACAGATATGGATCTAAAACCGCTTATTGATTTAGGAGGGGGGTTGCCAAAAATAGAATAATCCGCAATTTGATAAAATAAGCAACGATGTAGGCAGAACAATGTACAATGCGAGTGATAGTGAAAAACTCGAACCCAAAGTCACTTTACGATCACCGCTGGATAAGCAAATATAGTTATTTGATTTTTGCAGCCATATTAAGAATTGAATAAAATAGTTCGAAAAAATCAGTCGTCTAATGTTCCAACGGACCAAAAATGATCTACTCGATTGATGGAGGTTTCAAAAGGTCTTTACTCATGCAATTTAATCACTTAAACAAACAAATTGACATGCATTGTCGCAAGTTTTGTGGGAAAATTAGGAAGTCTAGCTAAGTTTTCTTCTTTCCACAAGAAAAGTGTATTTGCAGCCTGAGTTAAGCTTTCGGGGCCGTTGTTTTTCAACATCCATTTGCGACAATTTGTGATAAATGGCATGCGGGCTGTCAGCCAATCTGGATGAAGCACAGACCCTTGAAAAAACCATTCTCATTAATTTGCCTGGTCACTTGAAGATCGTCATCAAGTGAACACATCCTGGAACACAGCTGCCTTCATTTCAACTGATATATTTCAGTTTTGTTGTGAGAAAAGAGAGAACAGGTACATCGAATTAGTAACTACAGTCTTATTTTGGAAGGTGAGCTTTAATTCGAATCTGTACCTTTCTTTTTTTTTTAGTAAGAACAGCGATGATCATGATTTCTCAAGCTAACACCATGCCTTCTTTTCTGCTGTTATTATTGAAAATGGCTGGCTCGATATCTTCCATGGGATATGTCACAAAATGCTGAGAATACCTTAAATTCATTTTCTGTTGCAATCGGTATTGTAGACAAAACCTCTAAATCAGTCGGCCAGAACCCTTTCCACACACTCTAACACTCCTATATTTACACTTTCAGATTAGCAATATTACTTAGGCTGACGCCAATAGCCATAGCTAGTCTTAGGCTAGACAAGACTAGCCAAAAGCCTAAGCTAGTCTTAGTCTCAATATTGAGATAACCTACTATACTATCTAAGCTAGCTGTCTAAACTAAATTAGATGGTTGTTGGGAAATATCTACAATTGAACAAATTGTCATACCGTAGAAATTTTCCTCAGTTGTACTTGAAAACAGGCTCTGGAAATGTTCCAGTGTAAAAAATCTTCAACCTTAACTAGGGCTTCCGAAATCAACTAGCGCTTTGAGCTTTTTACGCTCTTATGATAGATTCATTGAGGGTTGGTAAGCTGGCTGTATTGAAGATCAACCATTGAAAATTAATTTGCAGCTACATTATGCAATCGCAGGTTATCAGTTCGCACATCCGTGATTATAGTCACTAAATTGTTTGACAGTTACCGGCAAAGTGTTTTTTGGTACGACACGTCACAAAAAATCGGCCATCCAAAATGATTTCTGAAAAAAATTAAATCATTTACTCTAAAAATAGAAGGAGTCGTGTGAAAGTTGAAAAAGATCTGTCATCGATCCTCCTGAAATCATTTTATGTTATCAAATTACCACACCACAGTAAAAAAATCGACAGCATTTGACACGGAAATCTCAACTGAAATACCAATCGCTCTAAAACCCCCCTCTCATCGCGTCTGAATCCATTAATTTTCGGATTGTCTGTCGTAGGATACTCGGCTATGAGCTGTTTCAGTGCTCCCACGTATTTAGACAAGGGATATCTTCCGAATTCTCTAGAAAACGCAAATTTTTTTTCCCTTCACCACCCCCGTGGGTCTGGTGGCGTCTCCGCGTGAAAAACGCGCGACAATGGCGCACGCAATACAAGCATACTTAGTCAGTCTAGGGACCTGCTGATGAAATGATCACTATTGTTTCAATTAATTACTGGGTTCCTTCCAACTCTTGGTTGACTCAGCATACCAAAATCATCATGCGCCTTTTCGTTCCTCACAATTTCAGAATTTTATACTTCCTAACCGCTCTCTAGCAGTGGGAAATCCGGAAGAGGAGAGTACATTTTCTAGAGAATTCGGAAGATATCCCTGTT